CTTGAGTCCTGGAGATGGAAAGTACAGTGCCTGCACTCTGAAGGAGGGGTGTAAATGTTGCAGTTTAAAAACTGTAGTGTAAAGCACCCTTCTGGCAAGACAGTGATGGAGTGAATGATGGTGAAAGTTTTTCTTTTTCGGGCCACCCTGCCTTGGTGGGAATCGGCCAGTGTGATAATAATAATAATGTTATAGTTGAATGTCCTTGGGTAAGTTTAAATGCTTTCGATAAGGTCTCCTAGCCCTTGTTGAATATATATTGTTCATATAAACAGGATTTATTCGCTTGACGTTTTGATCTAGGTCACTCGGCGCTTGAAACCCGCCTGCTCATCATTATCCTTCCTGGTAACCGAGCCTGCATACAATATACTAGAAAAGAACTTTATCAATGATTATATAGAATGAGCACAACTTTCTCGAATTGAAACAAGATTGATGTGCCAATTCAGGACATTTATTAAAGGAACCGTTTCCCCACGGGTGGCTTCATCAGTCATATTGATAAAACGTGTCTTTTTCCACATTAAACCTAGGATTATATTTGTTTTTTTTATTACTTCCCCACTGCACTATCTGATTGACTTCAAATTAGGTTCTCTCCGGTCTTTTTCCTTATTTATTTGTAGTTTCAATATAATTATTTTTTGTTTCCTATATGCACTATTCGCATTAACATTATCACGTTCAAGGCATATGGAAACTTTGCTTCCTAGTTCTGTTTCATCAGTAAATTGTTATAGCACAACTCGCTATCACTGGCATTTATGTATATCAAAATATATCCGGTCCCCAGACTGCTCTATCTGGCTCGCCTAGCTCTTCTGATGCATTTCCCTAGAAAGTTACCATCTGTTTGCGTCTAGATAACTTTCATTGCATTTTTGTAGGCAGCACGTCCGTCGGAACTAAGTGCATTTACTTTAAAAGAAGTGATAGTAAAAACTGATAATTGTCGCCAGTGACGATGGAGTTGGTATCTGTTTCCTCATGAATTTCCTTCAGTGGAAAGCGAAAAGTTCCTTGATGCAAATGAGTTTTTAATGCAAGAAATTGAAACCACTCCCATTCTTTGGATACAATCTATTTGACTTCCATTACTCCAGGCGATGTATGGTTCTACGGATTCAGCATTTTTTTCATGAATGTAATATAACCATAATTCAAGTCTGTTTCTACTATAATGGGACCAATAAATGAGAGAAAATGCCATGAAGCCCTCTATGATTTGCTCAACGGTTTTCACAGTATATGGTTCTTGAATACATTTAACATGACTAATGAACACCCATACTCTTCTTAAAATTGTATGTAATTTTTTTTTAATAGAGCAGTATAAGCAACAGTGTGCATGCAGTTTTATATTGGATATTTGCTTTTATTTTAGTTTTCCCACCCTTTGTTAGTCATGTCTTGCAATGGTATTTGAACATTTTCAGGTAAGTTGAATCTGTCATAGGTCTTCTTAATATAATTTGAAATCTCTCGCAAAAACATTCTTACCTTGATTGGATGTTCTCTATGGCCGACTGTCAAATCATCAAGCAGCAGTCTCTTGGACCTTCTCATCTTCAGCTTCAGTCCTTTCCACCGGATTCCATTCAATGTAGCAGGTATCATCATTGTTGCAAGTGGTCTCTTCTATGTTCTAGAGATGACCCTTGCACTCCTCTCTAAGCCAATGAATTTATTTTCAATGGCTAAGTCCCGCCTTAATCTGAACGTACTCAAAGTTGCTCCAAGTTCAGAGAAGACATCCTTAGAATCTCAGCAGACCAAGAACAGATAATAAGCTAAGGTCTTCACTGCACACTGGTCATCTCACACCGTTAGTGTGTTTGTGTTGCACGCCGTTAGCGTATTTTTATTCTTTGAGGTGAAGCAGGGGCTGTAGAGCGTGTGCTGCACTTGTATTGTTTGCTATGACCGTCACACGTCCCTCCCTTATTATCCGAAGGCTGTTTAAATTGCTTGAGATTGGAGACTTTTGGAGAATGGAAAGATTGTTGAAGGTTGTAGCGTTTATGTTGGATTGTTGAAGGTTGCAGATTATTTGAAGCTGGAGACTGTTAAAGATTGGAGACCTCTGGAAAGTGTTGAAGTTTATAGAAAGTATTGAAAAAAATATGATCACGAATAATATTTTATTTTCTTGTAAATTATGGTGTTGTAGATTGGTAGTACTAGCCAGAAGAGTGAATGAATTATAGATTACAGTAACTACGGGCAGTGGTAGAGTTCGGGCAGCTTGTAGGGTGTGAGATGGGTGTGCCGGAGCTTGGAGAGTGTGCCTGAACTTAGTATGTGGAAATTTGAGGTTGTGACGAATTTGGAGGATATAGGTAGTATTCTCATGTATACTCCTCGACTCGTCATGGTTTTCCACCCATACTACAACGCTCCACTCACTCCTACCACGCCTCAACAGCCCTTTATCGCTCTTCACCACAATGGCTACCATGTATATCCCTGTTCATTCATACTCCAGTATATATATATATCAAGCCTACCACCCACCTTTCTTCTGAACTATAATCTACCATCAGTATAGCATGTCCACGGAAAAGCAGGCCCGGTAAGCCCTAAAGACGGGTAGCAGGTTATACAATTACACGAGTACGTTTTACCACACACTGAAGACTGAGAATAGGGCACACTTGCCTCACTCACAACCAACTGCTTGCAATTACTCCTGCTCCTCTCTTATTTGTGGCTTTCCGCGGACTGCAGAAATACTTAACAGTTTAATAATGCTTTTGTATGTTTCATTTATAGTGGGGATTTCATGACCGTCAAGGTACCTGTCGCATCCTCGGGGATATTTTATAATTTTTAAAAATGTTTATTAGCTGATGCAGTATATTTGAACAAAGAATAAGAGCAAACTTGTATCTTTTTTTAGTGAATTTGTGACTGGGATTTTCATTTTGATACCTTTTGTACTTTATATTTACCTTTCTTTTTTTTTTTTTTTTTTTTTTTTTTTTTTTTGTCGTAATGAATTGCAAGCTTTGTAGCATATTTTTTTTTTTTCAAATGCTGAGATTAAAGGTTTTTGGGTACAGTGTTTTTGTTGGTCCCTAAATTTAGTTCCTTGCAATTTGATAGCATTAATGAAATTAAACAGCATAAAATACATTATCAGGTTAGTGCTCGGTTAAAATTTATGAGGATAGTTTTTTTAGTTATCCTGTTATTTGTATCAGTTTACGTTATGTTTTAAAATTCATTTCTTTGTAGATTATGCATTTTTTTTATAACAGTAATGAGTTGAATGTAAATGTTTTCCCTTCAAATAATGTTTTCCCTGAATGTAATGTTTTTTCCCTGCAAGTAATGTTTGTTTTCCCAGCACGTAATGTTTGTTTTCCTGCAAGTAATGTTTTTCCCAGCAAGTAATGTTTTCCCTGTAAGTAATGTGTTCATAACGTTGGGTAAATTAATTCTAAACGAATCTACTCCTACCTTATCTCCCAAAACATACTCAACCAATGCCAATTTGGATTCAGGCCTAATAAAAATACTAATGATGCTATTATACACATGCTAGAACATATATACACTGCAATAGAGAAAAAAGAAGTCCCACTGGGGATCTTCATTGACTTACGTAAAGCTTTTGATACAGTTGACCATGACTTGCTCCACGTAAAATTGTCACACTATGGTATAAGAGGGCACTCCCTCAACTACCTCAAGTCTTACCTCAGCAACAGAAGCCAATATGTGTACGCAAATGGGGCAAACTCTTCTGCGCAACCAATTACAGTTGGTGTCCCACAGGGAAGTGTCCTTGGCCCTCTTCTCTTTCTCCTATACATAAATGACCTTCCAAATGCTTCGCAATTACTCAAACCCACACTATTTGCAGATGACACTACATAAGTCTTCTCTCACCCGAGCCCAGTCACGCTAGCCAATACTGTAAATACCGAATTACAGAAAATATCTACCTGGATGAGGACTAACAAACTTACACTAAACATTGACAAAACCTACTTCATTCAGTTTGGTAACAGAGCTACAGATGTCCCTCTTAACATAATGATAAACGGATCACCTATCACAAAGCTAACAGAGGGAAAATTCTTAGGAATCCACCTTGATAATAGACTCAAATTTCATACACATATACAACAAATTTCTAAGAAAATTTCCAAGACTGTAGGCATACTATCGAAGATACGGTACTATGTTCCACCATCTCAGACCACTAATTACCCAACAAAAGGCTGCAGTTAGAATGATGATAAATTCTCACTACAGGCAGCACACTCCACCAATATTCAATACACTAAACCTACTCACCATACAAAACATCCATACTTATTACTGCACCTATTACATACATAGAACACTTAACTCTGATATTAACCCTCCCCTCAAACATCTCCTTGCCAACCTCAACAGAACACATGACCATAACACAAGGCACAGATCACTCTTTGATGTTCCTCGTGTCCATCTCACACTATGCAAAAACTCAATGCACATAAAAGGCCCTAAAATCTGGAATTCATTACCTGTAAATATAAAAGAAACACTACCTGTTTATAAATTCAAGTCTCTTCTCAAAGATCACTTACTCACCCAAAACCAAATAAATACTGAATAACTGAACCTTATAAATTGTATATCTTAAATGTTCTCACAATTATATCACATAAATGTTAAACCTAATACCCAATCTAACTTTATTATTTTTTAAATACACTACCTAACAGAATACTCCATACGACTGAATGTACAACAATACATGCAACCATATGACCTGTCTTTGTAATACTCATTTGTGCTTTATAGTTATCTGTTTACAATAATGTATTATCACTGATTTCATCATTGCTTAGTTAATTTTAAGCCAGCCCGTAATGCTATGCATAGTATAAGTGGCTTTGGCATGCTGCTCTTATCTGTATTTTTTTGTACCTCTGTATGTATGCTCAAATTGTTAATAAATAAATAAATAAATAAATCATACATCTCTCCCTCCCTAACAGAGCGTCCTACCAAGCAGACCAAGAAACACTCCCAGATGCTAGCCTAAAGCCGACCCACTGCCTGCAAAGTAAGTCGTAAACCATTAATTATTTTCTCCTTTCTTTCTACTTTTTCTTTTCCCTTATTTTGCCAGCGTTAGGAGGATAAATCAGCATTATGTACTTACATAAATATACTCTGGGGGAGCTATGTTTTTTATAATCTTTCTTTAGCTGGGGTTTACGGCACGACTATGACTTGTTTTCATGTTTTGACTCGCGAAATCGTAATTACACGATTGCAAACAAATCATACCACGGGCGGGGATAGAACCCGCGATCAGAGAGTCTCAAAACTCCAGACTGTCGCGTTAGCCCCTGGACCAGCTAGCCACAATAAGATTCGTCCAACTAGGTATATTTCTACACCATAGGAAGGTTAGCATAGGCACCACTGTGACCACAAATGCGACGGTCTGGAGTTTTAAGACTCTCTGATCGCTGGTTCTATCCCCGCCCGTGGAATGGTTTTTTTTTTTTTCATATTTTAAAGCCGCTGATGAACGTCTTATTAGGTACACTCTAATAAATTTCTAATAATGATAGGGTTAGGATATAACCACAATATTGGAAATCAGAGACCTGAGACTGTGAGCTCTGAGATAGCACTCTTCTACAATTACTTATATTCACGGGCACTGAACTCCAACGGTTTTACCATATTTGCATATTAACAGTGAATGGAATTTTCAACATTTACGACTTTCGCACTGCTTCCTGTTTGTTTTCTGCCTTCCCACCTGAAGACTATTTACATCTTGATAATTTTGAGTTTCAGCTTTAATCTGTGTCCACCAGCACAGGTCTCATCCCTGTTAAACAGTCCGTCGGGTATGACTAGTTAATTGTCCAAGTCGGACCGATTCATCATAAGTTTCCTCTATGTACGGGTTATATTTGTGTATAGTCTATCGACATTGACCTCATCATAACCTATGATTATGGTCCTGTCATGTCTGTTCTCTCATGCCTCTAGTGTTGGCGATGTTCAGCTGTTTAAATATTCATAATTCGAATTCTTTACCTCAGGGACTAGGCCGGTAGGAAACTTTTCAACCATTTCGAATTTTCTTGCATGCTGTGGAACTGCACATTCCATGCTGGTGTTTCATGTTCCAGTACTGGTATCACGTAGCTGGTCTATGTTGCCATGAAGTCTTTCATGAATTTTTTGAAGAGTATTATTGCATTATACTGAAAACGGTACCATGTTTATAAGATCTCCGGGATAAAATTATGATTTTATTCTTGAATCCTTCTGCCTTTCTACCACAAGCAGAGTTTTCCTACTTGGTTGATACTGCACTGCCAGGTATTTCTTTCCCAATCTCAGGGTTGAATTATATCAGCTATTTTAATCACAGATCTCTCGTTATAAAAAAAATAATGTATGCGTATATGCGTATTCATTGCAAAGAAATCTGATTCAGTACAAATGAAATTGGTATAGGTACTCATAAATATTACAGTCTTGCATTGTCTTACAATCCTCTTCCGTCTTTGTTTTCTACATGACACTTGCACTGAACACGAACATGAGTGTGGGCATCGATCCATGTTAGGGAACAGTTTATGCATGGTTTGGTAGTTACGTGGCAGTTGGGAGAAAAGCTTTCATGAGTCAGTATCTGTTTCCGTGAAGATTCTCTCCACTCTGTGGCTGTATCATCCTTCCTTCCCTCCTTCCCTTTCCTCCCGTTTCTTCCCCTTCCTCTCCCATCCTTTCCTTCCTCCTCTTCATCCTCGTTTATCTCCTTCTTTTTTTCTGTCTAGCCTTCCCAATTCCTCTCCTTGTTTCCTTTTTCATTTCATTCTTTAATGTAATCATAGACAAGAGCGAAGCACTTTAGGAAATTACAGTGCGCATCTTCGTTTTAGTTACATAATAAGAGAACAACAGTTAGTGTGTGTGAGAGGTGAGTGTAGGTGTAACAGTGACACACACACTGTGGGTGTGTTGGTGCAGTACAAAGTGTTGGTGCGACGATGTCTTTTACACATGTATGTGTGACAATCAGGCCCTGATCCACCGGGAGGCCTGGTCGTGGACCGGGCCTCGGGGGCGTTGATCCCCAGAATACCCTCCAGGTAGACTCCAGGACTCATTTACCAAGTGTAAGTGTAACGGTGCAGTTCACAGAGAGTATGACTGATAGTGGTTGTGTTCCTTGTGGAGATTAGTGGTGGTGGTGGAGGTGATGGTGGGGATATGGCAAAGACTGTTGGTGAGAGTGGCTGTGGATGCGTGGATGTTGTGGTGAAGAATGGCAGTGATGGTAACAAAGACAGATGATCATGGTGGAAACAGGTGTTTGTGATGGTGACGGTGGAGACGGGTGTTGCCTGCCATTGCGTCACCACCGACTAGGTTTATAAACAACGCTTCCCTCCTTCCTCCCTCGTGCTTGCTACACTTCCTTTCCTTTAAGGAGAGTACCGTGGTGCAAGGACTCTTCCTTCGATTTACCACTGATGGATTCCAAGAGTTTTTCTCCTCCCGCATCTCTGCTCTGGTTACGTTCTATTCCCGTAGACGTTGTAGATCCCCTAAGAGCTTTACGCCTCCCCCTTGAAAATAAATTCACTTCTCCACCTGCATTCCATTCTTTTTCATGTGAAGTCCCAGTCTGATTCTCAAGCCCGGCGAAACGTATACGTTCGAACTTATGAACACCTATAAAATGCTTGACCCCCCACCCTCCCATGATACAGTAAAAGTATGCATCTGAGTGTTAGTTTAAACTCACTGGTAATGTAAACGCTTCTGGCCTAAGCACACCTGGTAGTCTAAACGCTATCGGTTTAAACGCACTGTTGATCTATCTTAAATAAACTTTAAACCAGTCTTATGTCTTAAACACCACTATATCTTCACTACCGGAAGTTTCGGCTGTTCTTTCAAGGTTTGTCTTCTCTCCCTTAAATGTTATATATTAAAGATTATACAATATACAAATTACGGTATATTAGAGATTAAAAAGCAATCTATAATATTCCTGCTTAAAATACAATAGGGCACAATGATAATACGGAGAGGTGGTACATGGCGTGTGTTCAAACCACGTTCACCTGTGTAGCTTGTGGTGGTGCGTAGTTACTTCTGATGAAACTTTCTCTCGTATGGAGGGCTCAGAGGTTGCTGTCGTGGTTTCCTGTGTTGGGCAAACAGTGGCGCGGTCGATGTTATATTGTGATGGTGTTGGCGGTGGTCGTCCTGGCATCGTGATGGTACTGGAGCTAGCTTCGTGATGGTTGGTGAGTTAATTGTGGTGATTTGCTTACTGTTGTGTCTTAAATCAGTTAACAAAACTGTGGTAAGGGTTTCAATATTGTAAGGGCACTGTTAGTAAAACTGTTATAATTCTGATTGCTTTGTAGCTCTGTTGTTAGCAAAATTTTGCTAACAACTGCTATCAACAACTGCTATCAACGCAGCATCAAGGGGAGGGCTCCCTTGATTCCGCTGACGTTTTGATCCAAGGGATCAGAGCCACTAAACCCATAAAGAGCGTAAGTAACACAGAAGTGGGGAGAAAGCTACAAATATACAACACAACACTGTACCTGGACAACGTTTTGTTCTTGAGAAAGCTCTGAGAGGGAAACTTTGTACATGCACACATTCCTTCCTCTAGCTTGGAACAAACATGATTATCTCTTGTTTTCCATGGGATACATGACCCCCTATGAGTTTAGTGCTTTCTCATGATAAGAGTAAAAATAATAATGATAATGTAAGGGTTGCAGTGTTGTGGCGAGAGTTGCAGTGTTGTGACGAGAGTGGCAGTGTTGCAATGAGAGTGTGTGCTGCAACGAGAGTGGCAGTGTTGTGACGAGAGTGACAGTGGTGGTGGCACTGAAGCTTAGAATTCTAGATAGTGAGTGCATGTGGTAGTCACTCATCACATGTACACTCACACAGTGAGTGTACATGTCTCCCACACCTCCCAACCTGCTGTTACACCACCATTACACCCCTCCACTGCTCCTGTCGACCCTCAGTCACCTGCTATCACCATTGTAGACTCGCCAAATAAATCCACTTCAGAAGAAGATAGTGACGACTCCAGTACACTTTCATGGGGAAAACTTTACCTTCTACACTTCTCCATCGAATAATGACACCATGACCTGCACCGGCTCTAGAAAGGCCTCGGTGCTGGAACAGTCAAGTTTCAAGCCTAAACTAAACCACCTCTCCAGAAGTAGCTTCAAAAAGTTTGAAAATGGCTCCACTGCAAACCTGCCTCCTCAATTACTCCTATAACTCCCATTTGTGTGATGCCCTCTGATATTCCTACCTGCCTGCCTTCTCCTGCGACCTTGAAACTGCCAGCTTCTCAAGACTCAAGACCTCAACTACCATGCGACCAATGCATTCACAGCTTGCTCTTCTTTTTTTCTCCAAGTTGGTCCCACGAGCGCCTAGCAGCTGGGTTAAGCCCTGGCTCTTTTTCTTCGACTGTGTACACTTCTCTCCACAGCTATTCTTCGCCTATCCCGTCTTCCCTGCTCACCCCACATGGGGTCTTACTTAAGCTCTCTTGATAGAGCGGTGGCTATCATGTTTTTAGGCTCTTGATATCAAGAAGGGGTTTTGACCCAAGAAATTAGTTATCCTTCCCTCCCTTGGATCAGTTCTGAATGCCTCCCATTCCTCAGTCTCTGTATGACTTCTACATGTTTAATACTTCACCGTGATTATAATAAAAACAAATTGACAATTGCTGAAGTAATTTGGATAGTGAACATAAAAATTATTTTTTTTATCAACTATCAGATTTTGACAGAAAGGGAGAAACTCGTTTGAGAAGAAATAACAAGGCTTCTAAACACAACACGGGTTACAGATAATCAAGTGGATAAGCATCCGCTAGCCTACCGGAACTAGGTTTTCACCCCCCTCCCCCAACCTCCCCGATCAGTATTTAGAAAATTCTGTAAATAGTCGGAGTTGGGAATTCCAATGAGAAGAACATCATTGATAAAGCAAACGGGAAATACTGAAAGGTGGAGGGATATATTAGTA